GGTAACTTAATGGTACGGTATTTGACGAATGCTTGTAAAACGTGTACTCGAACTCGTTTCAATTTTGATAAAAAATAGTTGAAAGTCCCCCACCGCGACATTTGGCGTTGTCCGTAGGGTGCGCGAGAGCACCCTGATAAAAATGCCCACGTAAATTTAAATACTCGATCATTGGTTATTTCGATGACACGATGATTTGCAGTAAAATTACATTGTCTCCGTAATATCACATTTGACATCTGCGTTAAATTACAGAAAATGATAAGGCTCGGTTCAATTCGAACCTTTCGATCGACTTCGACGCCGCCTTAAACCGAGTCAGGTGAGGGCGATCTTTTCGTAACGGGTTACCATATATTATGTACACGTATAGACAATGTCTGCTGCTCGATCCTAAATACGCTTCTCCGCGACGTCGGAATACCTGGAATCCGACGACATAATTCTTTCAAGCAATCTCCCCCGAGTGAGCAGTTTTATATTCACCGGAAATTTGTCTATTCGGGGATGGAAAGCGCGAACGGACCGCCTTCGGCAAGACTAATGAAATTTCAGGATAATCGGTAGGGAATTCATGGCTGCGGAGTGGTTTCTATTAGCGTTAATGTCCCGGCCTCGAGAAGAGGTAAAGGTTCTGGAATTTCAAGGAAGACAATCTCCCGGGAGGAGATGGGCTGTACTTTTCCAATTGGCAAGATCTATTTCCTATCGGCGGACTCTTTCTGCGGAAAAGCAGCCAGGGAACGACTGCACTCGCACTCGAACAGATGGGAAGAGGTAATGCAAACGGAGGTCGAGCCTACAAGGGTAATTTTAGGTTGGCTAATGTCATTTCGCTTTTAATGAACTTCCCCGTTCGTTAGGCGCATTCCTCCATCGTCATCTCGACGTCGTCTGCGTTCGTACTTTTGTTAGCATATCGGAAAGTTTATAATTAGAATGAGATTATAAGCGTTACCCTAAGTACTCAACCCTCGAGGAAGGTGACTTCATGATACAAATATTGAAAATCGAGAAATTCGCATTTGACCGTATGACGTATAGTTTTCGTTATCTCCGCGGAACAAATCACATTTTAAAATTAATTTCAATCGGTATTCCACGAATCGAATGCATTTTAAGGTAACTAAAATTAAGATGCAACACCTGCAACGGTTGTACTCACATTCACTGATACCTGTATGAACGTTTTTTGTAATTATAACCACGCGTTGATTTAAAGGTATTTAGAATAATTCCCAGTCCGTCGATCTTCGTTGAAATATGTTCAACGACGTACCTTTTCCAACTGCAATAAGGCTAACCGAATTACGCCGAAGACCCGATAATTGCTGATAATTTAGGGAAACTTCGTTAAGACGCTCATCAGGGTAAGGGCGAAATGCTTTCATTTAATTATTATTCGATTTCGAGAACTCTATTATCACTCTCGTGGCAGCCATCAATTACCAGTGTTTTCGCCGCGACTGGGGAATCCCGGAATGTACTTAATGTAGAAATTTCGCTTGGTTACTTCGGATATATAGGGTTAACAGCTCTGAAAAATAAATATACCGAAGGAGACGGTAGACCGCTCGCAACGTTTCGATGAACCAAAGATTTAGAAACGAGCCGTCTGTGACAAATAACACGATCCAAAAGTTTTCGTTTACCTCACAGCTCGGAAGGAATGGACATCTGCGAATTAGCGTATCGGCATATCAGCGAAAGGAAAAGTTTTTTCCATCCAAAGTAATGTTTTCTGCAAGTGAACGAACAGCCTCGATGTCAGGACAATTTGTTCACTCTTTATTTTGTTAATTGCACGTTTAGTCTCTCTTTTTTTTTTTAATTCGATATTGAAAGTTTCTGTGCATAAGTTAGGTTTAGTATGAAAATGTATGTCGCTTGAGTAAATTTTTTTAGGATATCTCTAGCATGTCTCACGACCACAGGCCTAGAGTTGCAACATTTCTCCCGGTACACTTACGTTGCAGTAATTGATATCCATTTTCATTGCGCGTTTACAAGTATTTGTAGTAAACTCCTATTTAAGAAGGAAATAGGAAGACCGAAAAAAAGAAACCGCTGATGTCTAATGCAGGATGACATTTTCTACACTTCTATGATTACGCTAATTTCTCAACCAGTTGGTACAATCCGTGTGCATGAAAATAAAAGACTACATTATTTCTTATGAATTTAACGAGGCGTTTTGAAATGCCACGGGGACCCGATAACGCCTTAGATATTTATTTCCTTGTTGCAGTTAAGTTTCTCATATACTTCCGATTGACCCACTATCGTGCATCGTAACCACGATCGGATAATGCGAAAGGGACATCGGAAAGCCCTACCGAAAATATCTGCTCTCCATTTATCTACGATCGATAGTCGCGGGTAAAAGCATCGCGTCTTACGACAATTGGTTCGTAACCTCTGGTCTTCCTTTTAGCCGACGCTTAGCCTAATTAGGTTTGTACGGCTTACGTACGGCAAGGCCCAATTATTGATAATTGCGTAAAGATGTCACTCCGTAAGCGGATTTCAAGCGGTTTTATGGCATTGTGTGGCGTTAAGCCCTGTCACGAATGTTCGAGGGTGCCGTTGCTTCGCATTAAAATGCTTCGGCCTCCCTTTTGCGGGCCGGCCGTTTTGCCCAGTAATGGCGCTCGTGGAAGCCCTCTTTCTTACCGTTGAGGGAATACGATACCCTTGGAATTCTCAGAAAATCGATTTCAACGTTGTTACGCGTACTTTAAGCTATCGTTTATTCCGAAATTCCAACGATTAACAAAATGGCAGACTAGTTCCTAAGACCGAATAGGCAGACCCGATAGCGATGGATCCCCTCGGTTCCCCTCGGAGAAGACTCCTTGTCGAAGGATAACGACTTAGGAGACTCAATGAATGTCTCAAGTTGTTCGTTTTACCGAAAAAGGTCAATTGCATGGCATAGAAATCGACACTACTATCAAAGTCTGAGTTAAAGGGAGAAGTGCGAGAAAAATAAATATTTGAAAATAGGATCTGTCAAAAATTGTTTTTCTGCACGATATACATAAAATCTGAAAAACGGCGCCAACGATTTCTCTCGAAAGCTTTTGAATGCATCGGGTTGAAAGAAAAGCCATTGGAACAACTTTCTAACGAAACAATTTATTTCACTTACGTGTATAATCCGTGCATTCCACTATTTTGTATTAACTGGATTGCATTCATTTCGCGTCAACTGGCATTTCCGAAACATGTCAAGAGAAACTGAAAGTAATTGAAAAGTTAGCCGAGTCGCAAAGTGGCATGGTAAGCAGGTTCGTTCTCTGAATTAACGAGAGCTCAAATTGAATTAGGCGTCGGCAAGAAAATTGGAAAATCTTTTAAATCGAGGCAGGACGAGGGGAGGAACTCGAGGCGCCGCAAAAACTCATTTAAAGATGAAAAGCTGGCTAACGACTTATTTTCGACAAGAAAAAGTTGAGGCACTTATTCGCCTTCATCCTCCCACCCCTCGAGGGGTGAAAAGTTGAATGCCAACCTACTCCGCACTTCGGAAATACAAGGGGCGATAACAGTTTTGTCGACGGGGTAGCGAGGTTGTCGTCCTGAAAATACAACAGTTGCGCGCAGCACAACTCAATTGCCATGTCAAAACGACGTGAAATGGGATTGATGTAATTTTGTTAGGCGCCCTACCCTAAATGTGCCGTTCATACGCCGTGTACCGGGTGTTTCGCGATAAACGAGTAAACGTCGGAAGGGGGTTGATTCTAACGACTTATGAAGTCAAGCCAAATGACCGAATCTCTGCGAGCGCTCTTACGGAGTTACTTGCCGAATCCAATATTTCCACCCCGAGAGAACAATTCTAGACCCATTCACCCGGATTAATTCCCGGTCCGGACTATCTTTGCCCGCTGACAACTCACGGCTGGAACGGGACGTTTGCTTGCCAATTCGACACACGTTAACATTCGGTATGATCTCCGATTTTTAACCTTCGTAAGATGCACCCTGGGTACAACTCGATCAACCATCGAAATCGTCGAGATAAGGTCAAGATAGGTGAACCACCTCACTTTATTACGTATACGGTCAAAGGGAGGCGATTAATGGTACGGTCATATATGTACGTGCATATTGTTCGTTATATTTTCCAAATAAAAAAACTAAAAGAACGTTGGTACGTCACGTTGTATGGTAAATTCTTCCATTCTGGTTACGTTTACAGTTATAGATTCGTATTTACCGAAATACGTTAACTATCCGAAGTCTGCAATTCCATGGATGTTGAAGGACTCGATCGAGTTTTAAAGCGAAAAAGGCATCGGGGAAATTCGTAGCGGATGATAGAAAAGTTTCGGTATCCTACAATCGGTGCTCGTAGAGCCATTTTTGTTCCCTGCGTGATACGACCAATCTCGTTAATCTTCGATTCCGGTTCACTCGACGTTTCGCTGGTGGTCGATAATCGACTAGCCGATGGAAAAATGGTAAAAACTAATTATCCGTGAAATAATGGAAAAAAATTGTCGATGTCACGTGAATTCGAGATTGCCGTCATTTTTCCATAGATTGACCGGGGGGTTACGGTAACGCGGCCTGGAGTAACCGGTTCGTTACGTACATTCGATGAAAAATTCATTCGCCTAATCTCTGATGTACAAAGTGTTTTCAAATTGAATTCGACAACGTATCCATCTGACAACCTCTTTCAAGGGTCTACCAATTTATTTAACGTCATACATCGCGCTTAACCAAATTGAAATGCAGCCTCGAATACATGCTGGCTTAAACGTCCTGAATCTCGTCACTTAGTGCAGATAAATGTATATCCGTATTCTATAGATGCCAGGAACCGTAAAATTCACGTACAAAGGTATATGATATTTCTTCAGTTGGAGGAGGTGCAAAATTTAGGTGCAGAAGTATGCGCGTATTTCATGGTTTTGAAAAAACCGACGATTGATATTCAAATATACCCTGCAATGCAATGTATGCCCCAAATGTAAATACTCTGTATATTCGGTAAAAACATTATATTATCTTTTAGTAAATACATTACATTTGTATTCCTGTGATGAAATCATTGCTTTAAACGTCCATATGTATTTTCAATAACGGTAATGAACTCAACTTCTAATTAAACTTTTTCGAGCACGAGTCGTAAACGCTACAATCCTTGCACAATTGCATATAACATATAAAATGTATTAAAATATAAACATTTAATTGTGTAAAAAGTCAGGCTTCGAGTAGGATGCTACTTTTCGCATCAAGTACGACTTTATATTATTTACACGTCACATTATATAGTTTACTACTGTCTTCTCTTTATTTATAACCCCTTGCCGTTTTTAAATTGTAAAACGCTCCGTGCATTTATATATAATCGTTAAAAGCTTTTACAGATCGTTTTAAAACATATACTACTGCTTGCAATCCTCCTATATTTACGCCAAGCATCTTCGTCACGTGGAACAAATTCTTAACACTATTAATGGCCTGCAAAATGTTACAAATTAATAAATATAAAGACCCTGAGTCACAAGATGCATATCAACTGGTTACCTACCAAATTAATGCTTCGCCTATCGTACGTGAGTATTACCAGACGGCCGGTTCCAATTTTTGTAACTCGACCCAACTCTGTAAGAATTTGTTTATACAGTACTCTATTATCTGACATATTTCCACTTCGTTTGCCAAAAGGCTGCAACAAAAATATAATTTTCATTGATTTACAACCAACGATAATCAAAAATCGATCACTTGCCGACATGAAATTGTTATTAAAAATTATTACTTTATCCACTAAACGTAATAATTTGAAGGAGTAGGTACGAACCATATCGGTAACGAAAATATCGATACAGGATGATCTCAACGGTATTTTCGAAGCATTCCACTGTAATACGTCGATTGTACCCTTGTTTCTCATATCATCGATGTTACATTTTGCACGATTTACTGCTTTGCTATGATGATCTCCACAAAAAATATAAGATTCAGGGTACGCCATCGCCGCCTGGGAAGTAATTAAAAAAGGATCTTTATGGAGGGATATAAGACCACATTCCAAGTATGCATACCTCAATTGGAATCGATCCACCGCCACACATTGGATCGATGACAACATCACCAAGTTTTGGATGTGCCAGTCGTAATAAATTGTAGCAAACGGTAGCCCGCAACGTTGTTGGTCCAAAATGGGATATATTTCTACGATGTTTAGATTCTGTTGTGACCCGCAAGCCTACTATAAACTCCTCTGGAAATAAAATTCATTGCACAAATATGAAAGGTGCCGAGAAACATAGACAATAATAAAAAAAATTCTTGTAACCGATGAATTATTTGAATCAATTCCCGGTTTTCGCGCGTGTCGGCGGGAATGTCAATTGGGGTTTTTGAGTGGTAATATAAAATTGCACGCAACGTTATTGACGTTTATATTTATATCAATAGTACGGTGCAACGAATATACAGTGACGAGTATTTATGTTTCCCCTTCTTACACTGGCGGCATCGTATCCGCAGAAAAAATATTCACATCTGCCAGTTTATATTGTAAATATCTACTACTTGGTGTACAAGATACATACCGCTGATTAAGTGGCAAACGACTTCTAGGTGATATGCAATGAGATCAACCAGCCAGTGGTACTTATCCTGTAATACAGCACCGACATGTTTTGCAACCTCTCCGGATTCAAATGCATGCTCACCGGTTCTTTCGCAAGTTACTCTGAACTTCAAAATACTATTTTCCTGCACCGTTGATGGATCTTGTCCTCTTTTTTTACTCCTATTATTGACGGTCGTATTATCGTTGAATTGCTCCTTCCTTGTTTTATGACTTGCGTGTGCTGAATTAAATTCTTCCTCGGTGGGGTATAAGATCCCTCGAAAATGTGTTGCTATTTTCCACGCATTCAGGTGCTTTTCTAAGCCCATATTGTTTTGTACAGCGTCTCTTATTAATTCGAAATTCCCCTCTTTCTCGGATGTTATAAAATTGAAGGTACTCACGTCAGCGATTATGTATATGTTATCCACCGAACGCATTTCCTGCACCTAATTCAATCAATTGATTTAAATCCATCTATTCATGACCCGACGTGATTACGAGACATTCAACGCAAACAAAAACGGTTTTAAAGAGAATAATTTATGATACTGAAGGCATGGCGTTGTTGCATCAAAACTGATGCAAAAGGTCTTATGAAAGCATTAGTACCCATCAACGTCATGTATATCATACATGAGATTCTCATGTATCTACCTAAACTATGCTACATAAATAAAAATGTGATTATAAAATAGATTTCAAGTAGTATTGACATCAGCTGTAGACATTTCTTAGCATTATTATGGTCTGCCATAAATTTAGTACAATGTCGATTTTAAGTACTAGTATTTGGCAACGATACGTATTACAAAATGATATTTAAACCCTTCAAATTAATGTATGACAGACTGCAGTTGGCATAACTAACAATTATTTCAATTTTAATATCAAATTACATTTATTACAAAGTAAAGCCTGGCGTTGCCTGGGCATATTTTGAATTTTTTGTATAATTTTGACGTAATAACGCGATGTGCAATTGTCTGCTCTGCAACGACAGAGACATAAAAATTGATATTTTTGTTCGTTAGTAAGCTTCCTGATGTATGTCTCTCGCAAAAATGATCAAAGTTGGTCTAGTAGATTTCAAGATTACCACGGTATGAAATTCAAGCTTTGTCAGATAATCACTGATTCATCTTTTCTATATACCAAAATATCTTATTTCTGCGATCAAATGTATCAGAGAAGGAATGAATTATTGAAAGAATTATAGAAACAATGTATAATACTTTTAAGAATTGATCCAACGATACATTGCAATATATCTTCCCACGTCTTTTAACAATGCCTGTCGTTGGTTTTAATTTCTCCCTGCACTCGTCAACAGCTTGCCATTCAAATCCTAAAAGAAAAGTAAATAATCATTGTCGGTTAACCCGTTAGTAAAATACATATCATCATTATCACCCACCTGTGGTCACCGTCATTCCTATAGTAAATATCCCGTTTATTTGAGAAATTATAAAAAGTTCTTGCAGTTCCAAGTCATTCGCTCTCGACATATTAACGAAGTTAAAAAATACAAAAATCTACACATTAACGTATGCCAGAAATTAAAGGTTTATTCGAATTCTGTAGCTAGTGGCTAAAGTTTCACGATCTCGGCTTGTGCTGCCTTCGATGGAGAGTGCGGCCAGCTTGTACATTACAATAGTGATGCCAACTGGCTGATACCCACCAGTGGCGACTTGTCCATTCTCTATCTGTATCTCTCTGGATTTCGGCCTTTTTCCAAAGGCCCAGGGGGTCCACTACGTAAAGCAAATTGAGCGAAAATGTGAAAAATGAGTAGCTCACGGTATTACGGAACTTTTTTGGTGGTGAAAATGCGAGACCATTTATATGAACCAGAGATGAGTTGGGAGATTGCTCACGGGCAGGGTCGCACGATCGAGTCCTGTGCTGCCCCCATGACGAAGGATGCGGACGGCTAACGCACTTGCCACCTGTTACCCCCTCAGTCCTGGTAACCGTCACTGACGTACCGATTGACAGTTGTCAAATTGGATGGCGCGAACTGGCGCGAACCGGTAACCTGTGTATGTACATATTCTCTACCGCGAGCAGTCTTTTGATTCATAAGCAGAAGTTTTATGCTTTCAGTCTAATGAATTCATATGGAAAACGAAATTATTTCAAGGGAAAAAAGAGAAAGAGGAATTCCGTTCTTGAGCCAAAGAGTAAGATTGTAAAATTTCTTTATAATAACCAAATTCTTATTGTACATCATAGTAGGTTAATGTGAATGTTTATTCGACATGAACTGTCCTTAATTTAAATGTAATTTATTATAACGCGTCTTAGAAAACACAAAGAATTGTAACAATTCTCCCTCGGGAAGTGATCCAAACAAGAACTTGTGGAATCTCGATGGAGAATCAAGGAAGCCTGCAGAGCGATATTATGGATGGAGCATGTATTTTTACGATGAAGGTATCCTGTCTTATTTTGTATGAAAAGTGTATGGTGTGGTTTTAATTATTAAAATTTCCATAGGCTATAAAGAAAACTCTTTAACGGTAAAAAAAGTACAGGCTTATGAAAATTTCTTAAGAAGAAACTACGATTTCTCGTCAATTGTTAATTTTAATGCTGATGTATATCATAATGTCGATGTCACGGTGCTATACAGTGACAACACTTTTTTAACAAAATGGCCTACATTTAAAATGGATATTAAAGATACTCCCGATCACACGCTGAATTGCCTTGGACTTGCCATACATCAGGTAAAGCAACTTTTAATTATGTACGTCTACCTATATTTTTAATTAATCAAGTATTGTATTTCTACTCAATTTTTAGGCCATAACGAACTTTGTGTTGACCAAGCGCAACAAGTGCTACAACGATGTAATAAATGATTTATCAATGATTAAAGCCAAAATATTAAATTTTGAACCAATAACACCATTAAGAAATCTTAAAGTAAATTCATGTGGTAGGTACAATTTTGTGTTAATGTAGCAGCAATTATTAAATTAATTCATACATTCAATTTATTCATTTAATTTACAGGAAAATTAATAACAACTACAGGCTGTGTCATAAGAGTTAGCTACTCCAAGCACCTTTCTCAATGGATAATGTTTGCTTGTTCGAGATGCAAATGGGAGAAACGAGAAAAACAGACTAGGGGTATTTATACCATACCAAACAAGTGTGACACATGTGGTACAGTGAAGTTCAATCCAATGTTAGATTCGTCCAAGTCGGCAACAATACCTTCTCAAATGATCAAGTTGCAAGAATATTCCGGAGACGAGCAGGTACTTACTAAACGTAACATGTAAAATTATCTCGTAGTATAAATATTTCCGTGATACTGGTTCAATACTACGTCAACAACTGTTCTTTACTTGGGGATACCAAATAAGAAGTTATCATCCTAGAAACATTACGAGATGAGGAAGTAGAAATAATATTGACATGTATTCTTGAAATCAATAATGATTTGAAATTTAGGATGACCGAGGGAAGGTACCACGAATACTTGATGTAGAACTTCTTGGTGATTTAGTGAACACGTGTTTACCTGGTGACTATGTGACTATAACTGGAATTGTTAAAGTATGATTATATTAATTTGCATTTAATTTAAAATATTTACACACAAACGCAATAATCACGTAATGATCCTCTAATGTTAGTTTTTGTTTATTCCCCCATAGGCAGAAGGAAATTCGGAACCTTTAAGAAAGAAAAATACTACAAATTCATTTTCTTTGTACATGGAAGCAATTTCAATAGTTACTAATAAAAATGAAACTCAGTGTAAGAGCATAATGGGAATTGAGTTTGACGATAAGGATTACATTGAAATTAAGGTTACCAGCAAATAATTAATTCTTTCAGCAATCGCTAATTAGAAAATATGTAATTTCTAAGAAATATCAAATCTTGTGTTCTCTAATATATTTTAATAAATTTTCAAAACCGAAAGGTTTGTATCGTTGAGCACTTAAAAGAACGATAATTGGCAAACGGTACAGGGGAGTCAGTACTGTAACTCAAAAATCGGTTCGTGACCGTCACGTGGGTTGAAAGTGAAACTTCTAAGCTAGAAAGAATTATTAGATATTAAAATTATGTTTTATGTAATATTTTATTTTATTTGTAGAAGATCCATGACCAGCAAAATTTGTTTGAGACACTTGTCCATTCCTTATGTCCTGGGATATATGGTCATGAAATAATTAAAACTGGATTAATTCTTAGTTTGTTCGGAGGAAGTACCAAGCAAGCAGATTTACGCGAAGAAATCCATATACTGCTTGTTGGTGATCCAGGACTTGGAAAATCTCAAATGTTACAAGCATGTTCCCATGTTGCACCAAAAGGTAATTAAAAGATATGCTTGCGGTACTTTAATTTGCGTTGTAATTAAATATTTTTAATTTCATTTGTAAATTAGATCACAACCTAGGAACATCAAAATAGTTGTAGCTAGTTACCAACGTATATGGTTATCGAATATGGACTCTATGTGTAACTATAGATGTCAAGTTCGAAATGTTGTAGGAATCTTTTAATCAAACATTCTTGGACGTGACGGCTAATGGCTTCTAATTGTGGAACCTGATGGATCAAAAATATTTTGCATGCTCTAATTGGTATAAACATAAATTGTTTAGTAATTCACTGTTTTGCAAAGCTTAAGATATGTCTACTGTCGGAAAGGTCTCTTGCATTCTAAATTGTCGAAAGAACAAGTTTTTATTTTCCACTTGGAAACATTTATCTTTTTGTATCAATCTATATCCTTTTATGTATGCAGACTATCTAATAGAGTCCAGAATCAGAAACCAATTGTCTTGAAATTTGGTCTATGTCCAGAACAGTGTTTGTTTGACTTTACTGATTCTGACGATTCGATGTCCGTTGTATGGTCTCAAATAACTTTTTGCTGATGCTGTAATATTTTTACAGGCGTCTACATATCCGGAAACTCCAGTACGTCTTCGGGATTAACGGTTACTCTTGTGAAAGAGCCTGGTTCGAGTGACTTTGCTCTCGAACCAGGTGCTTTAGTTTTAGCGGATAGAGGGTGCTGTTGCATTGATGAATTTGATAAAATGTCAACACAGTATCAAGTGAGTACATATTACTTCATTGTATTTTTGTGTCGTATTGGAGAAGTGTTTCGCACGTTTAGAAAGACACCTTAGTTTACAATATGTTGTGGCAGGCATTGCTCGAAGCTATGGAACAACAATGTGTCAGTGTAGCAAAATCTGGAACATTATGCTCCCTTCCAGCAAGGACGTCGATTCTCTCGGCCGCTAATCCCATCGGAGGTCGTTATGACTCTTCTAAGACAGTTATTCAGAATTTGAAAATGAATCAACCTCTTCTCACACGGTTTGATTTGGTTTTTCTTTTATTAGACCAACCAAATGAGGTATAGTAGATTAAACTGATATCCGACTTCGGTGACAATTTGAACGAACAAGGTATTTTTGTATTTTTTTTCTTGACTACAGAATCGTGATAATTTGTTGTGCAAACACGTCATGACGTTACATACCGGCCAGAATAAATTAAATCAGGAACAATTTCACTCTTCTTCTAAAGGGGCAGAGGAAACGTTCTCGCAAGGATTAACATTCCGGTAAACTAATAATTATAAAATGTATAAGTACGTCTGCGTGTATGCATATGTTTGGTTATACCGGGTTGCAATTCATTTGATCATTTAAAATGATTATGTTAATTTTGACCTTTAAAATGCTAGGAATCCTATACATTTATTTGCACTACTGCCGTCTCATGCAAATTTCGTAGAAATAGTCCACTTGCATCGATTTTTATACAGATTTTTGAGAAAAGTTTTTGTGCCAATTTTTACACAATGTTTTTTTTTTTTTTAACGGAAATAATTTATTTCAGAGAAAAACTTATATTGTCAAAGGGAAATGTTCAATGTATGTCTCACGCTATTTTGCGAAAATACATCTCATATGCTCGTCAATACGTCAAACCTAAATTAACAACAGCTTCTGCTGCTGTTTTGGAGAGATTCTATATAGAACTTCGTAAGCAAAATACAAATGGCAATATACAGGTTTTCAACAGGCAACTTGAAGCTTTAATCAGATTAACGGAGGTAGATATTTTATTTCATTTCTAAGAAAGTTCTGTTATGAATTTTTCAAAGTTGAAATATTCGCACCACGATAACGAAAAATGCAAAATACCGTTTCTATCGCCTTAGTCTTCCATCCCAAGATATTTTACCCATTTCCTATCCCGAGGATATTTTATCCCTCACTGCGGCTACGTCTCTCTTTCCCTCCTCTAGAATGTAAGTGTCCTTTCCTGTTAATTTGAGTAAACAACAATCAGGTTTATTATTATCAGGCTCGAGCAAAATCCGAATTACGTACGGTAGCAACGGAAACCGATGCTCAGGAAGTAATAGAAATAGTGAAGTTTGCATTAGCAAGCATGTCCTCGGAACTTGGACCTACTTCGTCGAATATTCATAATAGCTCAAATTCTGGGAAACTTACCGGTAATAAGGTAAATAGAGTACCTCCAGCACATTCTCTTTTTATTAATTACCAAAATATTTCTATACTGACTAAAATATATTACTTATTTAATATAGGTAAAACATTTCATCAGACTATTGAAAGAGGAAGCCCAAGAACAAGACAAAAGTACTTTTTCTACCCGAGAGTTACGCGATGTTGCGAGAAAAGGAAGCATTGTAATAAACGATTTCACTGAGTTTTTATTAAAATTAAACGACCAAGGATTCCTCCTAAAGAAAGGGCTAAATTTGTATGCCGTAGTTTTGGATTGAATATTGCATTAATTTTATTTATCTTATGTAATATGAAGCTTAAATGTATAGTGTAAATAACCTGAAATAGATTATTATGTGGCACCTTTAAAAACATTAATTGTTCATTCGAAAATATTTAAGGAACATTTTACTATCTGCTCCAACCAGTGCTCGAACTTATTAGGTTACACTTGAAATATATTCGATACGTTTTGATATCTACAAAATTGTAAATGTTCATGATTCATATATGATAATACTCGTGACCAACAATGCTGACTTTATTATTTATTACTTTCAAACTTTGGCGGTCAACATGGCCGGTAGGTACAGTAGTTATTGGAGTAAAGCAAAACCACGATAGTAGCGCTATCTTTGCGCAAAGACTATGAACCAATTAAATTGACACACCACATCCAGGAGAAGTATCTCCCTCTAATTCCGTCAATTCTTTTCTATATTACTCTGTATCTGAAGTTAAAATCATCGGTATGAGATAAATTATCATAAATTATGTTGACATTTTACACATGTATTCAATAGTTTGGCCACTATTTGAAATAGTTAAATTACTTGTAGAACAAAGTGAATTGATATATTGGCTCGGCACCTGATGCTTCCTTTATGTAAGAATGCTGAATTTTCAATGCGACTCTCAACGATTTGTTGTTCGTTTATTTCTCATCACGCTTACGGCTACGTCAACTGTTCAAGAAAAACTGCTCAACCAGGTACTTCTTGTATACCAAATCAAATTTTTTACTTTGAGGACTATGTAAAATCATGTTTGCAATTTAATTGTATTTAATTCCGATATTCACTTTTTTGTTTGAATATGTTTTGCAATATTAATGGCAAGCCTGTCGAATTGATGCTGTTGTAAATTTTGTTAAACTTGTTTTTGTTTATTTATACGTGATATTGGATGTAACGAAAGAGGGTTAAAATACATTGAACAAATTCATCTGATGTTCACTATTTAAATAAAGAAATAGGTTTCAATTACTTAAAAACTGAAGAAAACTTCTGCCTTATTTTTAATTTACCCGATTCTAGTCGCTAATACGTATGTGAAGATATATAGCAGGGTGCATTTTTGATAACTCAGAATATCTGTTATCATTGCCGTCTACCTAGTAATTTTTTGCGCAGATTTGATAGGTGGACATCCATTCATTTTTACACGTGACATACAAAGGCATTCATCGCAGAATTAATGGTAACTATAGCGCTTATCGCTGTAGTGATATTATTCGGCGTGCACTTCAGTTGGTCTTCACCGCGCAGATGTACATATGTCACCATAATAAGCTTTGGCTTTAGCTTCTTGTAGTAATTTCATTTGGTTAGGCACAGATTTTTGCATCCAAACTAGATTGCTGATACCACAAGGTGCTGCATTGCTTTGGTTTTTAATTCTCTTATTTGATTGGATTAAGTATAAAACTAGATTTTTAAGAACATAATTTTAAGGGCATTTCAAATGTCTTGAGTAGATGTACTAGTATCTTACGTGAAACAAAATTTACTATGTAATTAAGTGAAAATATTTTATTCGAGTTTTTCATGGCATGATAGTTACGTTGTATTTGGCAATATTACTGCTTTCAGCTTTTTACAGGGAAAAAACAATTTTTGAGCTAATTTCACAATAAATTGAGAAAATGTAAACCTATTTGGCCAAGTTTTTTTTACACCAAAGGTGTTACTAGTAGGGATTTCATAAGCTCCACCATACTTGAATAGGCTCAAATAAATTGATATCGTTGAGTATGAAATAAGTGTATTCTACTTTTTCTGTTTAGCTAAATACAGCACATCAACCACCCTCGACATTTCAACTGAACGACTACTCAGACTTTCGTGAGAACGATGAAGGGGATCGAGGGCGCCAATTTCCACAATGGTCTCAAGTTTTGCAAAAAAATATTCCGTTCCAACGGATCGATCGTCCTACAAACCAGATTTCTGTAAAGATTCCAGATGACCTTGATCCAAGTGAGCTAACTTAGATCATAATTACGTGATAAATAAATTCACGTAAATTATATGCAACTCACTGTTCTTATACATACGTGTATATCTAGTTGGTATTTAAACATTTTGGCAAATTGATGACAAACTACTCGTTGCAAGTAGAAGTTACTTTCTTAATCTTGAAGCTATAAGCCATTTAATTGTAATACGTTTTGAGAGGATTGCAATCGTACATGGAATATTTTTTTTTTTATCACGCCAGGGAAGAAAACAATGTTAGAAATGAAACAAATTATGTATGGTATGAAGAGTTATGTTTTTTCAATTTTTTTTTTTTCTAATGTTATTTACTGAAAGCCATAAGTAATTCTTTTTACAGATATTTTATGGGATGCAAGGTGGAATGTAAATTACACATTTGGTCAGATATCGGCAGTGTCTATAGATCCCGATGGAAACATTGCCGTATTCCATAGGGGGGACCGTATATGGAATTCTGAGTCATTTAATAGAGAGAACAAGTTTGATCCTACGAACGGCCCAATAAAACAAAATACTATTATTCTTTTAAATAAAGGTGGAAAAAAGATTTTAGAATGGGGTGAAAATCTATTTTATATGCCTCATGGATTGACGATCGATTCTTTTGGCAACTATTGGATCACCGATGTAGCATTGCATCAAGTGCTTAAATATGATGCAGATGATATTAAAAAAAGTGTAAATCGACAAACCATGTCAGTATTACATACCGTTGGAAATTCTGATGAAAAAGGTTTCCATCGAAATAACGATTTAAAGCCCTCGCTAGTTTTGGGGATTGCGTTCGAACCGGGAAATGACGATCAAAGATTTTGTAAACCTACAGCAGTGGCCATACAGAGAAATGGTGATTTCTTTGTCAGCGATGGTTATTGTAACTCTAGAATAATCAAATTCAATAAGATTGGAGAAAGAATTTTACATTGGGGACGCAAATGGATAGGACCAGGTAGGTGTGATCCTATTTGTATTAATTATACATATTTTTATAAAATAATAAATATTAAGCATTTTGTAATTTCAGCCATCTTTATTATCCCTTCGTAGTAAATTCTCAGATTTGTTTAAAAATAACGCGAAAGCACCAAAGAACCTTTATAGGGACTCGTTTGTTATAAGATTGGAACTTACATTATATTGATAACGACAATGTTCTTTATTCTATGATCTTCAAGTGATGCTATATTGTAAGGAATATTTGAATTTTATTGCGGGAAATAGATGTGCTACGAGAAATTACAGAGCGTACGAAAACTCACTTCGAATGAATTGATCTTAACCAAATCTTGACAGACTCGTATACTTTGTAATTCTTTAATTTTCAGATGTGAGGCATCGAACACCTCCGCATAATACATTCTTCGTGCCACATGCGTTAGCCGTTGCAGAGGATCTGAATTACATTTTCGTGGCGGACCGTGAAAATGGCAGAATACTCTGTTTCTTCTCGAATAACGGAACATTTCACAAAGAATATACTCATCCCGTGATCGGAACAAAAGTATACAGCATCTCCTATGCTCTTGGAAAGCTATATTTAGTTAACGGTCGTGACCAGTTTATTCTCAATGACGTCCACGTACGAGGTTTTTCGATTGATATAGATACCGGCAATATCGTTTCACAATTTGGACCTGTAGGTGACATGAATACGCCACATGATATAGCAGCATCCGAAGACGGGCTCGAAGTGTACGTTGTAGAATTGGATGCTCCTAGAGTCTACAGATTTTTGCAAGGTTAATCACATTTGATTTTATCGCTTGCAGTAATAAATTATAATATTTCCCCGCTCCAAAGCAGTCGATAGAACGCTATTTATCAATTTCACGCAATAATGGCAAAGGCGAAGACGAAACGTCTACGCGATATATATGGCAAACGATCCACGGTTCTTTTATTACTTTTACAGGTTCCAACGATACGATAAGTTCTTCATATTTCAAGAACTCTACATTGCCAAAGCAACAATCGGCACCTTTCAATGATAGAAACACAGATGACACATTTTTTATTTCATCCCATGCGACTACGACGACTGCAATTTTATCTCTCATAACTTCTGCAATGTTTCTCATTGCTGTGTGTGTAACCGTAGCTGCCATTATTGCCAGACGTCGAAAACGAGGTACAATATCTCACCATGAAGACTCTGGAATTGAGATCGAGAAGCTAGTTCAATGAAATAATATTTTTCCACATTCATGACACGAGGAATGCATTTTGTTACGTTCAGTATGTGTGATTTGACTGATTGTTTCTGCAAGTGGGCTGCACAGTAAGAGTGTCATTTACCCCGCATATGTGTTTAAAGCACCGAGGTGTTCCCGGAATAAATTTAATCTAAACATATATGTAGACAGTAGCGAGAGTTACCCTAAAGGTAATTTAACTCTGAAATTGATATACGATGTTGTTACCGGCTTATGCAATATTAATGCATCTGGATCATGCAATGTGCACGTGGATCTCCGTATTGACTGTGCACTATGTCGAATATTTCCTTTGGACTGTTATGCTGACATTATTGAGGCAGGTAATAACGGTCATCCCTTGTATTTAATATTTAATTTACTACTCTACGGTTATACCATACGTTTAAAATCAATCGACTAGAACTGTAGGGTGTATAAAAATTGAAAGTGATTTTGTCTTATTTATAACTGTATGTCCTATGTATATATGTCTTGTTTAATCGACACCGATGCATTCGTTTTTATACGTTACAGATATTGTCATTTATAGGATCCCAATATAGATTTATGGAATAGTGACAACACGATTATCAAATATTTAAAAAGTCGCAAAATCTGTTTCGTTATAAAAGCATTGTCAGCGCATAGGAAACCGTAAAAAGCAAGGATACCCTCGAATGTATTTTTAATTAAAATAGTTAACTACCGAGAATCCTTAGATATTTAGGTTCTTATATTTTCACGTAGGTACTAGCAAATTGGAATCTGGTGAATTATATAAAATTCCTGATTTTATCTTGATTTTTTTAATTATCTGTACTTTTATTTCTTCCACTGTAGCATTTGAGAAATCATGTTTCTAATTTTCCGACTTTTAAAAATTGGGTCCTTGGCGTATAGTAAATCGATGGTGACTCGCTCGAGCTGAAATGCGCAGGATGCGTTTCTTTCACCTTTCGACCCTACGAGTTTCTTGATGTCTTATAAGGCAAGATGAGTATAGCTTGTATGACTCTTCTTCCTAACGGTGACATACGTATATAGTAACCCTTTATGATCGGCAAATTTCTCAAATTTCTCTGATGGGAGTACCAGATATTTGGAGCACATTTGGTCGGCTGACGACGCTGGCTTCTACGACACTCTGAAAATGCCGCCACTGTGGCTGCACCGATCGCAAAGGGTTAATGCGCCTATCCTCATACTAACAATAGCCTACTACATATTCCGTTTGGTTTGATTATGTGTAACATTTTTGGTACATCATGCACTTACAGCCAAGTAATATTGCATCATTGAATAATTGTTTACAACATCTCCGAATCTATAAACTTTGTATGTTGTACAATTTTAATTTTAATTTATTTTACTCTGTTACCAGGGTGCTTATTAACGGTACACAGAAGAATGTTTCAAAGTCCCAAGAAGAGAGAGAATTTCAAACTTTCAAGCCTGTTGGATAGTCGTACAAAGAAGAATTATAAATTCTTGGACAACCGCCCTAATACGAAGCAATTTAAAAAGTTGAACACGGATCCAGAGTCATCCGAGGATGAGAACCATGAGAATAATTTGACAAAACTTATTTAAACGTTGGTAAAGAATGAAGAGGTATCATCAAAGTTTCAAACGTTCTGTACATTTTTTCAACTCTCCGTGTCGTAAATGTTAATAAGCTTGTTCATGGTCATTCAACCAAACTTTTTTATTCTTAAGAAAGGACCAAGGCGGTAAATTAAAATCAAACTTCTGAAGTTTCCTGCAGTTACGAAAGAGGATTTTGGTTATATACCGAGATTATACGTGGTATCATCTAAGTTTACAGTTTCATTGATGGTAAACGATATTTTAAGCTAGTCAACGCATTAATAAGTAAAGCTAATGAAGTGTAAATATGCAAGGTACATATAATTTTCTATAACTTATTTATGTATGAAATTATTCAGGCCATATTCGCACTGAAATAATCGTAATTTTCTTCAAGATATTGGGATTGTCAAGAGGTTGTTCCAGTCTTGTCAAGAAGAAGGAATATGTTTGTAAATTTTCTAATTTCTACATTTATTTTCCTTTCACCGTCTATTCCTCAAAGCACTGATCTACTCTTGTTCTACATTATGTATCAAAATTTACACAGAATGAGACATCTATTTGAGGTTACTGGAATAAATTGTCTGCTTTTCGGAAACAAAAATGTTTGAGTTCTTAAAATAATGTATGACAAATTAATTCATTTTCAAAGCTTGGTTAATAAACATCGAGTTTACATTCAGCAGTTCTGCAATGTTGCAGAGTAGTTAGTACGGTCATTTTTGGAAGAGAAACGTGCACGATGCTTTCGGCCCGTAATTTCTATCGATGCTCTTTCGGTAGTATGTACTTATACCTTGGGTGCAAAGTACAAATTCCGACTTAAGTACCCTGTCATTTTGTAAGCCTTGGGGCAACTGGAACGGTCACTGTTCAGCAGTTGCGGGATCTCTAGAAAAAGTCTACAATCTTAGAATTCTCGCTTAATCCTTTTCTCTTTCCTCGCTCCGCAACAAGTATAGTCACACGTTGAGTCCATATTTTATAACATATTCCACGTTGGTTATACTCAAAAAAAACATAATTCATTGTAAAGAACATTTTTTTCTCATTGGAATGTGAAATTACAGTCATAACTTACCTGAGAACGTGTTTATTCATTTCACGTACCCAAGTACGGATCCATGACATTTTGGTCCCACCGATTCGATTCCAGATGGACACGGATTATTTCAACACAAATTATTGGACACCGTTTTCTGGTTTAGAAAATCATTTGGACACGATATTACCTCATCGTTGTCATCCTTGCGCCGTGTTCAATAATTCGTGTTCAACGGTATCGTGATCTATTTTTCTCGAAATTAATTCCTCGTCGCGATGAATCATCTTGCAGAATTATGTGAAGTTTTCTGAAAAAAAAATTACATTAGATAAAGATCCATTATTCCGAAGTGAAATATAAATATAAAGCGGTGTCCATTTCCGAGAACACGAAGACTGGAAGAAAATTGTATCGGATCAACATTTCTCATGGGGTAGAAGCCTGTGTTGCTGCCCCCATCGTTTATTTTTTCTAAATATTTACATGTCATTCAAAATGCGCCGTCATTTTGTCCCGATAACTTTCCCTTCGACACCCTTGCCGTCTATTAGCTTTCCCTGAACCGGGAAGAAATCATTTATAAAACCTACATGTACGGTGTAACGTTCAAAATTATATTTCTAATAAACTCTTTGCGCGGAGACCTACGTAATTATGTTCCTTTTGCAGGAAAATTCATAATACTGACGTATAACAATATTCACGTAACTACAACGTGCTTTAATTTAATTGATATTAAACAAGCATAAGGCATATGGAACAACCTTTTCGATTAGTTAGTAGTATTGACTACCTGAAATAAGAGTAGAACAAAAGATTGTTAATTTTTTAACTAATTTTTTTTTTACTTTATCCACCTGCTTGTAAGATGAGACAATTAGACGTTCCCACAATTCCTGATGTTAAAGTCGACGTATGAGTATAGAAAAGATGTTAGTGGACAACAAATGTACACGATATTGGGTGATTACGGACAGCACGAAAACTTCATTAAAGTTGGAATGAATAATTTCATTCTACTTCTAAATGTGCAACCGAAAACTTCGTTTTTATTGGAAACTACCGAAGAGAAACTACTTTTTTACATGGATTGTCAATGCTAATAATGAATTTTCAATTCGTCAAAAGAAATACACAATCCTTCGAATCGAATGGTCACCTTATAAATCCTGGTAACTAATGGAACGGCCAATTTTCAAGTTTTCCCCTCCGTAATCGCGCAATATCTGATTGGGTGACATTTAAAAAGAATTATCCGTCATTTATACGTTTGTACATTGAAAATCGTATACGTTTGTAATGATACACTGACGATTGCCTAAAGTTAAATAGTAGTACTCTTAATCTATCTAAGCTTAATAATTAAATTCGTAGATAATCAATTTCGCTGCCATTGTAGCTACTTCCAATCATGCAATTTTGTATGGGAACAGTTAATTGGATGAAAAAACACCCAACGGAACCCAGAAAATATCACATGTCCTATTATACCCACGTTGCATCCGGCGCTTCAGCGTTATTGTTTGCATATCTGCTATGTTATCACTAGACGTACACTTTATTTACAAAATGTAAGTCTCTGCTAGGACTATAGAATGAATGAGATATATTTCAGAATCTCGAGGCGATTAATTCATTAACTGTCACTTGAGTTATATTTTATTATCCATCAAAGTATATAAAGGTATATCTATATCTTCGATATCTTGAGGACATACCGATTCGCTAATAAATTGCTAATCGTTAATTAATATTGGTCAAAATTTAAGGAGACACCACATTTAAACTTAGGTAGGAATAACGGAAACGGTTTCAACATCCATTTAACTTGAAATATATTCTCCTTCAGCTCCGAAGTCGTCAGTTACCAATTCTTAGTAGAGTTAGGGACAGGACAAACGGCATTGTTAATATTGCACGAAATCTAGGAAGGGAACCCGTGTTATTTAATTAATATTCCTCGCAATTGCTCGACTGTGGATGTAAGAAGTAGCGCTGCTTAACGACTCCACGTTTCGTTCTATCTCGAATTTGACCCTGCTCCAAATCGAATCGTAGTTAACGTAATGATGAAGCGACTTTGAGAGGTCGATAAAGACCAAATTTGACCGATACATTTTCTTTTAAATACGCATTCACCAGAAATTTTACCTCATGATAAAATTTCGTCAACGGGCTAACACCATTCCTGATAAAAAGTTGAAGTAGAGTGTTATAATATGAACCTGATTGAATAAATCTACTAAGTAAAGTTAACTTCCGTTTAATTTTCCCCAAATTTTAATAAGTCGTTTCGATGACTTAACAATTTGTTGGTAAAATCATTATTGACGCACTCGAAGCCAATGACGCATCGTGTCCGCCGTGAACTGGACTTCGAACACAGAAAAAAATCTTTCCGATGAACCTTCCGATCCTTGCTAAACGGTTTATTTTTCAGTTGTGTGATAAAGACTAAATTTCACACTTATTAAATAATATAATGTATGTACAATATATCTAATTTTTTGGATTTTAGTGGATTTACATATGTCGCATCCACTGAATATAATTGTCAGATCCATAAGATTAATACGCAGTTCACGAAATGGAACCATATCGCGTAAATTTTATTTCGTGCCGCTATTTGGACACGTCTTTTATCCATTTCGTCAAATAGAACATTTATTTCTTCACATTATGAAGCTGTGAAAGAAAATAACCTAACCGCTATTGTAATGTTACTAATTCATTAAAAACCTGTTGTTAATATTTGTCAATATCAATGGGTCAGTCTTGATATGTGTATCGTTTCAAATATGTAAACGCGAAACAAACTTTAGCAGGTTCTGTGTAAATTACACATATTATAAGAAGGGAGATTAAGAAATTTTTTAAACAAATAATCTACATGAAAAAAAAAATAGGAACACGAGAATTTTTAACAATGGATACCAGAATAATGATACAATGGAATAAAAATCAGTCTGATATGTAACTTATGTCGCTCAGATGATAAACACTTGTACATAGAGTAATCTCTTCTAAAAGCAATCGTATTTCTCTACTTTCTTATGTTTGTCTTCTGTGCATTTGTACTAACTTGGTACATTAATCCGGATACCAATATCTATGCCTTTAGGAAGTCATTTAATACATGCATCACGAGAAGTTTATCAAAACATTGTTACCCTTCATGGAGTGGATGAGTTGTATGTAAAGATTTTTTAATTCTAGAAGAGTTTATGAAGTGGAAAAATACGCATTTGACCTCACGAAGTGGACAAAAAGTGTTCAGATATTGAAATGAAGTAAAAACACGCGGTCTGGTTTCAGTTCACAAACTGCGGGTCAATTCAGCGAGCTAAAAAATTACTCGAACAAGAAAGTGCGACATATGTAACAAACCCGTTGTGACAAATTATAGGATAGATCGTTGACATTCCTCATTGAGAAATTAAAACGACGAACAGTGAAGACACGTTCAACCCATTTTCAGAGAATTACTATTGCACTGTAAATACTTCGCTGGTTATAAAATGATCAGTAGTGAAACCTCGTTATTAGCGATCAACGTTACTTCTAGCACTCAATTGTCTTTTTCTGTGATACTTTTCCTAAATGTATTTGATTCATAATCTATCACATACATAACGAAATGTTCGTTAATTGCGAATATATAAATATTCGATTCAGACACCATTCTTATGTCTACGGTAAAAGCATTGTATTAATCGACAGCGGTTCCTCATTCGGACATAGGATAAATCCGGAAGTGATGCCTCACTTCAGCGACAATTAGTAAAAAATATTTTCTTCCTTTACAAAAATATGTATAATGCCTAGGTTTCTTATAAACACTCCGACTCATTGATTGTATCAAAACACAAACCAATGTTCTTTACTATGACGTAAGAGAATTAAAAGATTGGCCAATGATAAAATTAACGGAATTGATTGCAACGTTGATTCGAAAGTAACTTAAAAAAATAAATACAAGACTTTTGAACGAGTCACAATTATACAAGACCTGGAGGTAATAATAAAAACTACAATACGATTCACTTTTTGGAAACAAAAAAATGTATACGGAGCGAAGAAAAATAGTTTACCCGCGTCCTTAAATTGTACACAGCGTTAGATACGGAATATCCCTTCGAGGTTTATTTATGCCCTGGTAAAATCCTAATCGTAAATACAGTTTAGATAGAACATATTATTGCGTTCTTTCAATTTTAAAACACTTTGTTGCGGGCAAATACTCGGAATGATCATACGAATTGTGTTAATCCATGGACACGTCATAATTTCAAGAATTCATGCATGAAATAATACACCTGTGGGCAAAAAAATTCGATCGTAATTTCGAGCACTTGAACACCCCAGATACCTCGGTCATTCAAGACATTTTTTCATTTATAACGTTTTTCTGTTCTTATCTTTAAATCTTTTAGTGCCTGCCGAAGTCGTTAGCACTTGTAAAACGACGATATATCGTTATCCGGGACGAAAAGGATTAACGATTGCAGATTTGTTATTGTTATTTGAGAGCCGTTGAATCAAAATGTCGAGTACAAAAAGATCCCCGGTGCTAAGTCCAATCGAGATTTTAAAAGTTAGTCATTTAACAGTTTTTTCTCCTCATTCAGGAGTAGAATTTTCTTGGAGTAACCAAGTAACCCCATTAACGGTTTAGTAAATTTGTCGAAGATCGAAGTACCGATTGGTTGAGAATTGTTTAAAAAAAATATTAAAGAAGTGTTCGAGTACTCTCAATTTACGATATACCCTTCTGGCACATGCCGGACAATCACGAGCAGCGATTATCTGGACGTGCGGGAATATCATTTGATAAGTACTTGGTAAGGTACCAACAGTGAGACATCTCTCCAAGATTTCCTCAACGGGAAACAAGTGTTCTTCGATTTCAAGGGAATTGCATCGAGGTTTAATGGACAGTCTAATAAAACGCCGAATCGTACCCATCCTTTTCGGATAAATTATTATACCGTATTCCGTGTCAATTATTGATTATATATACAAATACCACGCATAAGTACTACTAAAGATGTCGTATACTTGTCGTTAGAACTTGGTTTCAACTCGGCTTCTGACTTGGGCTCGGTATCGATAAATGGCCTTTCAACCTTCATGTACAATTGCAGCCAGTTCCGTTTGGCTTCTTAAAACTTGGTAACATACCTAGCAAACGTGAAACGCATGTATACGTCAATTTATGGAGCATACGATCGATGAAGTCGTACTCCAAGCGGTTTCGGACCTCTAGCAAAATATTTCGAAATGCAAAAGTTAAAATAACGCGAACTAAATTTCGTAACCTTTCATAAAAAATTCGGCTTAATAAGTTTACAACAACATTCGAGAATACCTTCGACCTTTGCGGCTCCTTGCAGCGACCGTGAACTCCAGAGAATCCTTGCTTAAAATCGTTAATTTACATCGTAATCTCGATAAAAGATACCCTCCATCGCTCATCGGACGTATCGTTGTAATCGGAATTTCGTTCGTAACGTGTAATTACTACATTCGTCCGATTCGTGGCAAAGATAACCATAAAACGTAATTGCTCGCGTCACGGTAAACGTTGCTCCGCGGGGGCGGAAGGCCGTTTAATTTTTCATTGAGATCCTCTTTACGATTCCGTCCGCGATCGCCATCCCGCGGCAAACCGAATCGAGGAGACCCTTCCAATGCATGTGCTCGAAAGAAACCATTGGAACTCGACCGCTCCCCATTTTAGTTTTCACGTAACGCGGAATTGTGTCGGCGAACAGGGACCCTATTCTCGAGTTCATCCGATCGACTTTCGGCCGCGAAATCAACGGTCTCGCATAAGACTCCGAAACAACGCAAAGCGTTTCATGCGAAGGAAACGGAGAATCGGGTCCCAGGACGTTCCCACGTTTCTCCCGACCGGATCGGGGAGACCAAATCGCGAGCTCGAGTCAACGTTCCTCGGTAACCCCGTCTACTCGCCAATCGGCGACGTCCGATCGTTACCGATAGCTATTCAGCGATATCGATTAGTCGAATAAATACGGAGGGGCGATCTCTTTGAATTTTTACATCGGCACGGGATCGGACCTTAAAGCTCGAGCCTCGCTTCGTCGAGTTCGTTCCCTCCCGTTCAGTACACCGAGCTGTATTCCAAGTCGTGGGAGTATTGCGGGGGCCCGGGGGGCCCGGGGGGCGGCGGCGGCGGCGGCGGCTGAGGGCTGTATTGTTGGGAGGCGTCGGAGGCGCGGCGGCGGAGCGCCGCGATGCTGTGGGCGCCTCTCCAATCGGAGGCCTCGCCCGTGCTGGCGGCGTCCGTCCCGATGCAGGAGACGCCGCCCGCCCCGCCCGGCGAGCCCTGGCCGCAGTTCAGGCCCGACCCTAAGCTGCCGCTCTGACCTCCGCCCGGCGGCGACCCGCGGGACGCCGACACGTGGACCCCTCCTGCAAGCAAGCCACCTCTCTCTTATCGACTGCTTCTCGCGAACCGAGCGACTTCTACTCGGTTCCTTTCCGTCGATCGGAACGCGTCCCCGTCCTATATTTTTACCAAATTCGTCCGCTCTTCGGATACACGGATGGAAAATAATCCACTTCGTTTCCGAAGAAATTTATACTTTCGTAACGCCGGGTCATTTTTTCGTTTTAAAATGACATTCTCGTTCCCGGAGAACCGTTCTCGTCGACCGTCGCATCCGAAAGAGAGCTGACCAAGACTGGTTGCATTCGGTTGCGTAGTAGACACACAATGAAAGATCTCGCACCTGGGTGCGACCAAGTTGAGGTCTGCCTGTGTCAACACGAGGAAAAGAGTTTATGTTTCTGTTTCAGATTTTTTTTACCTTCCGAACGAGCGAACCCGCGCGGCAAAGGAATAGCAGGCGGCGAAGGGACTTTTCTACCGTTGTTGACAGAAAGGCCGACCAAATTTCATAGGGAGATCGTTTAAAGTTGAATTTGTACCCGGTCACCATAACGGTGAGAAAAGAAGCTATTTCCGAAAGAACAAACAATTGCGTTGAAATTTCATTGGACGTCCAAACGCAAAGAATTTTCGTAAACGACGACACGTAACGACCGAAGCATTAACGCGACGTCGAGGGGCCTTCGATTATTTAGAAAACTTTTTTCCTCCCTGGGTGCCCCGAATTGTCTTTTTATTCGTCAAAAAACTGTGCACGCCTCTAACGAGTACTGGATTCTTGCGATAAGAGTAATAAGAGTAAAATAAAAAATAAACTTTGAATAACGCAAATTTTCGTGCGACTACAGTTTTCTGAATCGTTCGACGTTTGTGGCGAACTTACGTCTCGATAAGGTCCATAACTATTTTTTGCCTGCAGTTATCGAGTTAATCGGAAAACGGTCGTTTAAAAAGAAAACCACGCGTACGGGCAGGAATTCACCCGATCCTAATTTTTGGTGACACTAGCGGTCCACTCACCCAGAGAATTGAGTCCATAGCTCGTTTGGTAGACAGTTTGCGATGGACTACTGATCGGAAGACCGGTATTGGTCAATCCTAAACTCGATCCAAGACTCCCCGTACTCTGTTGACTCAGCTGGCTTAAACTTTGTCCAAAACCTCCCATGCTCATTCCACCTTGACTCAGTTGACCGAGACCTACGACAAAATGGTAGAATCAACCCGTATTTTTGCACCTTCGACAATTACATCTTCACCTTTGCCCGAGTGCCCACCCGCCCACGCTCGTATACGCATACATCGGACCGGGTATTACGTACCTAGAATTTTTCTACGCGTATATATAATATTACGCTTGTACGTTACGAGGAAGTATTTCAACGAGAGCGACCGTAAACGAGACACCAAAAGATCGACGCGTCATGGACCGATACAGGGCGCTTTCCATTACAAAGGGATGATCACCGTGGCGAAAAATAAGACAGACTTATTGCTCGCAAAGGGCTTTACGCTCGGAGGATATATCCTAAAGGAAAATTATAGTAATTCCCTACGTTTTGTTTCGAAATAGTCCTACTTGGATTCATAGGCGATTCGGAACGAGGAGCTACTCCCTCAAAAATCGGAGAAAACGATTTCCTTCCGTGAGAGCGGATTGCCTTCGATTTCATATGATGGACAATAATGCGATTCGGTAACAAGCGACGTTCGGCCCTAAAATTGTGACAGCGTTTCGGTAATTTCCAACGATTTCCAATGATTTCAAGCGTTAAAATCCATGATTTCCTGAGGGAATACCCCCTCGTTTGAAAGACACGAGAACGCCAGCAACGAAAGATGGCCGCCGCGCGTTCCTTCCCTTCGCGTCTCGAGCTTCTCCCGCGCAGAGATTCGTTCCGTCCCTTCTTCGTGGATCGATTCGTGTAACGTACTCACCTGGACCCATACCCCAACGATCGGCAGGAGCGTGGAACATTCCCGCGGCACCGCACAGATCAGAATTCATGGCTCCAAAAGGGGGCAGACCGTGCGATGGCAACAAAGCACCAGGGGATCGGAAGACGTTTGTCGTCTTCTTGCGCTTTTTCCACTTTGCTCTTCGGTTTTGAAACCACACCTGCAAAATGTTCTTATTTTAATTCATTACGGTGTTTCCATGCGAACGGGACACGTTACCGAAATAATCCGTTTCGAGTGGATATCGAGAATCGAGGCAAGGACCGTTGGAACAATTTTTTCAGTTCGATTTCAGTTCGGACAGTCTCTCGTCAGCGTCTGACCAGTCCTCGACATTTTTCCACGCGGGAACCATAAGTTGTCCCCCGGCCCTACGATATCTTCGACCCTGGCGTCAACGGTTATTAGTCGACGTTATGAGCTGTTGATTCTGGCCACGTAGTGGCCCTAAGCTGCTGGGGTCCCGGAAACTTGATTTATTGATATCGCATGCAAAGCCCGTCTCTCCGGTGTTCTCCGATATACCCTCGACACCAGCATGTAGTCCCTTCCCCGCTTTGCTCGATGTATTCCACACCGTATGGTATGTGTCCATAAATTAGTACTTTGGTATTAGGTTGCGTCCCACATACGGATGTCGCAGTGGTACCTATACGTCCTGGCTTCGGTATCACCTAGGTATTACATGGATCTAATTGGATACCCAGGATTTATACGCTACATATTCTATTCCGTGGCATCGTTTTTGGCAAAAGCAATTTCTCGACATTCTTTGTGTCCCAACATTGTCGATACGGAGTAAACCGATCGACATCATCGATAAAGAGTAGAGAATACGTCGAATACGTGCAACGCAACCGACGTGGGTGTAACGCAATTTTATGACACCACCAAGTATTTACAAATTAAAAATTTATCGGTTCGATTCTCATTTTTATGATAGGTCAACTTGTATATCCAAATGCCTAACCCGATAGATACGATTCTTTTTACGAGACGCTGGACGAAACTGTTTTCTTCCGCTCGTCTTTCATCCCGTTCCTTAATTCTCGCCAGAGCCCCAAAGGACCGACCAAGTCGCGGAAGGCGACCAACAAAAATTTAAATAAAGACGAGTGGCTTCGGAAATCGTCTCTTTCCGAAAATCCCTCGGAAACTGCTATCCACCCCTTTTCCATCGGAGGGTGCAGCCCTTGCTTGGGTTGCAAGGTGTGAGTTCCGCAAGGAGGAAATCCCGTGGTTCTTTAATGTACGGGATGAGTCATCTAATAACAAGATCCGTAATATCTTTATTTCGGATGATACAAGAAAATTTCTCAAATGAGAATTACTTAATTGGAAGGGTCAATGATACGACGGGGTCATTTTTGTCCAAAGTTACTTTTTTCGATATCTCGAGGTAATTGCTTTTTTCAAATCGGATAGAATCTTTATATCACCATGGCATTCGGACTTATGGTAAGGATTTAACCATGTTTGCGCAAATTTTTAGGGATTTTTAACATCGGGACAACGGGCCGTTACATGAAAATTATTCGTCAAAAAAATTACGTGTCAATTGATACCGTAGCATCGTACACATATTCTTCGACGCCAAAGGGAAGAGTCTACTGGTCATATTAGTCTATGACTAATTCAGAATTAGTCCGAAGTAGAACCCAGTCAAGTTATTACGCCTTAAAAAAGAAATCGATCTCTAAACACACCCAAGGTGGGTGCGTCATTTAAGTTTCAGCTGCTCCGAGAAATCATTTGTTAACACCTGGAACTATACGATCACGATCGCGACGAGAGTAGCAACTCATCGGGAGACCCGAGCAGAGATAATACAAAAATACGATCGTATCGACTAAATGATTAATTTTACAGGCGTGAAAAAAGGGGTGAAAAATTTAAGTAAATGCAACATTAACTAATTTCTCCCGAGGGGAAGTCGCGTCAATCGAGCCAAGGATTGTGATAACATCCCGGAGAAAAAAAAATTCTATCCCTTTTCAGACATCACGGCCGGATTTAACTCAACTCCGCGGACTTCTGACATCCTCGGGGCTAAAAATGCCAGAGAATGGGTCCATGGTGGTTCAAGGGTGAACTTTCCGAGCGGGGGTGGAACCTCGTAAAGGGGGTTCAGTAGCCGTTGATATAAATTGAGCCTACCATCAAGGGAAGCGGCAGGATCTGCCGAAGATCCTAAGATATATAGGAGAAGCTTTTAGCCTGCCATTGAAAAATAACCCTGCTGGGCTCCTAGGAAATCGCTTTAAATGATCGGTATCCTATCGCGTTACATTTCCTACCCCACTGTGTATAATCGCTTATTCATTTAATAACGATTTCTGGACAAATGTTTTAACTAAGCGAATAGGATATTCTCGTATCTGACTTGCGATGTGATATCTATTTGATAACGACATTCCACAGGTAGTATGCGGAGAAAAGTACCGATGAATTCGTTACGTGAACTCATATTTATAAGTATCGTATTCGTGACAACAATTTTCGTGTAGATTCAGAATATCCGTACGTTATGTTAAGAGGGAAAGTGGCGAATAAGTGTCGCAAAATTTCGTTCAGGGAGCATCTGTCGATAAGCGAAGAAGTCAAACGGGAGGCCCGAAAGTTTTCTGCGGTGAGATGGAGCATTTAATGGAAATAAATATTGTATAAAGTTGTAGGGTCTGTATCAGGCCTGATCGATGACGGTGAGCTGCCAACTAATGTTGGAGGGTGGCAAGACGCATTACTCGGGCTGCCCGTTGCTCGTGTTTCATTCCGCCCGCAAGAGAAACCTTACGGGTTACGCTAGTCATTAGTACTCGGTCGTAAACTTGTCGATTAACGGAACCGACGTTAGGTTAAGCATAAAAGGAGGATCTGCCCCAGATCGTACGGAGGCGATGCTCTAGATTTCAACGACTCGCTTCCTAGAAAAATTCATCTCCCGAACGAATTTTTACTTTTCAAAATGAAAAATTAATCCACGCGAACGAATGACTGACTGTTTGGACGATTGAATTTTATTTCCAAGGTAAAAGTTAAAACGTTAAAATATTATCAAGTTAAAAGTAAAAATATTTTTTATAACGGTGTACCGAGGAACGAGTGATAGGGAAAATCGCGTTACCGTTGCAGCGGCTCGCCAAGTTGCCAAAACTGTTCCGATTGTCAGGTGTCACAACGTAATGGGAATTAGAAGAAGCTCTCTGGAGACCGCACACGCTACATAGTTTATCCATTGGCACCCCCACTCTAGGATGGCACCGACCCCTCGTACATCTAGCCACCCTCTGTGGCTCTGGTGTATTATACGCGTAATATTTTTTCGGCTGCCGACAAGTAAGAGCTAATATCGTAGCTCATGCATATTTATACCGCATTAAAGATCACCCTCCCCAATAATGCCCAGTTTGCTGCATAGTGGAGACACCACATTCTCGGCGCAACCCGCTCCAAGGCAGGGCTGCGACCCGTGTAATTCAATCCTGAACAAAAACTACATCGAGATAACGAAGTATCGCTTTAATTCATTAATTCGGGATTCTTCGACAACGGTTACGCAACCATCGCGGGCAACCCAAGGCAAACCCAAGAAAAGTCATCTTGGAAGTAAAACGAGTTTATTCCTTGATGGTGTTTTATCAAAAAAAAAAAAAAAAAGAACCTTAGGAAAAAAGGTATTCGTTTACAATCGACTATGCAAGGAAAAACGATCGGGGAGCAACGGTACTTTGACGAATCATTTTACCGTAGACATATGTATCAAAGGTGTACGAATTTGATGAACATTTTTAAAGGGGTACAACGCGGGAAAGACAACGGAAGGCGGAATGGGAGTAGGTACAAACACGACCCGGTCGACCGTATCCAAAAGCTGTACATCGAAGCCCAACATTTTAACACCAAACACGAATATTGTATTTACTTAGATTTTCTTAAGAGCTTCTTGTCACTTTGTCGCATACTCTCGTTTCTGGCATGTTTCCGCACCTCGTGCGCTAACGGATACCGTAAACTGGACCTACTCGAACATCTTTTTAGCACCGTTTCCGAGATCATTTGGAAACTAACGAATATTTTGACTTTAAAGGAATCTATCGTACGGAGGATATCGGCACGCTAAATTTGGCCCGAACCGTTTTCGAAATACGATACCGCTCGACTGCGACGCCAATATTCCGGTGCAATGTTTGAAAAGCTCGATACCGATGGAACTCGAATCACCCAAAACTTACACCCGGATTGATACGACTGTACCCGGCTGTGCCATCCCTCAAATGGTGGCAATAACGAACCAGATTTACCCTCGGCCGAGTCACTTGTTTGTCCCGTGGGAGTACCGAATGATGCCGATGTCGCTCCGAATCCCCAGGGATACTTTTGAAAGCAATACTTCGTACCTTTCGTTCCCTTCCTCGTCCCTTACACATGTGGATTTCGGTGCTGCCGGCAACGAGAACCCACGACTCTCCCTGGATTTTCGCAAATGTCTTACAAACGTTACAGCCCGAACGTAAAGGGAACTTTTATAGCCGTTTGGTATACTTTCAATGAACGTAGAAACATTACGTTAAAGTACTCGAAGGGGTCATGGATTTTAACGATGGAAATTATTTGGAAATCGTTGGAAATCATTGGAAATCACCGAATACCGTTACAATTTTAAGGCCGAATGTCACCTATTATCGAACCGCATCGTTGTTTATCACATGAAATCAAAGCCAGTCGGCTCTCAAGGAAGGAAATCGTTTTCACTGATTTCCAAGTGAATAGCCCCTCGAAAATACCTCTTTTATTGATTGGAAACAATCGCGTCTAAAACCTAACGCGTTGCTTCGAACTCGATCGGAACATCATTGGCTTTAACGTAGAAATCCCTTTAGATAATCGGAGATAAAAATGTTCGGGTTGACCAGGAAAATGAACGTAGATAACCAGTTCGGATTGGAAAGGCTAGTTCCTAGTACGAGAGGTCGTACCCAATAAAATCCCGACAGCAGTAACCGAAAGGACCCTTCAGCCTAGAAACGAGCAGTTACCAGGGGTAGTTAAGTTAAACGCCAGTTATCACGCGTTAACTGCTACCGCTATGGCTCCTATTCCGTCGACGATTGCAATTTTAATCGTATCTTCATTACGATTAAATTTAAATCGGCAGCATGCTACCGTATAAAGTTCACTCCATCCGCGGAAAATAGGAAGCATCTCCCGGCGAATGAAAGTATGCGTAATTAATACCGTAAAACGCCAATACATGTTTTCAAATGAAGCGGCGTCATTGCAATGAATGCCAGCACGAAAATGCTTTCGCGAGCATGTACACTCTCGAAATCGCCGTATTTCCCCATAAATTTTCAAATCGACTTCAACCCCTGAAGTAGGATAGGTCTTCCTAATATTCGATTTAATCCAATTTGAGACGTCACTCCGAAACATTTTCACCCTCCCGATCGCTTGCATCAAAGATCGTAGTCCCGAAATAGCGTAAAGATCCATTCATCGAGCGAATCTATTCCGATTCTCTTCGATCCGTCGAAGACCGTCTTCGAAAAATTATACTCCTAGCTAATCCATTGCGTTGACTAAAATTCTCTTTATTCGAAAAACTGCGAATCATACCGTCTTCCTCTTGGTGGATCATTTGTATTTATATTTAAGGGTGCATTTGTCAGAGCATCTATTGCATCTCCGTTTCCTCCCCCCCCCCCCCTCCACCAGCTATGAAAATATTCGCAGGACCGCCATTGCGAGTCGAGAAATCTTTGATGGCGGCGTTCAATAGCAGAGAGGACGCCAGGCGCCGGCGCCTTTCTCCCTGCCCCATTGGTGGCTCGGGTCCTCCACGCATGTACTTGGCGGTGCGTCCCCATGGAAACGCTTCGTTCGTTGGGATATTTACCCTTTGCTCAAGGAAAATTTTCTTCAATTGGGCCAAATTATCCCCCGTGACCTCTGTTTTCAATCCATTTATGATAAACTTCAAAAGAAATTGGAATTTCGTAACGTTATGTTAGAAGTTTGTGACATTTTGTAGAAAAATGAGTACTCTTACGCATTCAATTTATAACATGCGTTATAAAATTAATATTACCATATATCTGAATAAAACTTCCAACCAAAATTTTATAAAATTTCAATATTTTTTTTTAACGATGTCGTTTAGCCGTCGCGATGATTCCTAGCCTTCTGTAGTTTACCGGAGAAGAGTTTGCTCGATATAACGGTAACTTCGGTAGACAGCTGCGAAATTGCAGTTAGCGACCCCTGAAATGGTTCGAGATCAAGATTAATTACTTCCAGAATCAAGTGGAGATCTTGAAGCAAGGAAAATGATCGACCGTGAAACCGATAACGTATATTTTTTAAGTATACCCCTCCCTCAATTTACGCGGTTATTTATTTTAATTATTTCATTTTGTTAAGCTATTTGAAATAAATACGTATTTTTAAAACTTACATGTACTAGCTTTTATTTCCAATATTTTTTCTTTTGTCCCGATAGACTTTAATTGCGCGATTTTCATTCGCGTAAAACGAATCCACGTGAAACGGATACTCCGCGTAAATTGGGAGACGCCTGTAGTTTAAAATTCTCACTTCCGTTCTTTCCCTGTTGAATGTAAAGGAAATAAAATTCCTCCATTTAGTCACACCGATCTTGGTTATTTACTTGTCGCGTTGTACGATCGGTTCACCAGCTATGCATTGAAATTCACAAGAATATTTGCACTTGCAAAACTTTGTTTACTTTGATTATCTCGCAGACATATAGTCTACCGTTCTTCAAACATGTAGTTACCGCAGTTATCGTTAATTGGCTGAAAATGGTAATTAAACGTATGCTTGAAAAATTACCCGGGACATGCCAATAAAATAGCATTTGCTAGATGTTAAGGTTCGTACATTTTTTCATGCGCTACTTATGTGCTCATTTTTAAGATGAATTATATTATTCCAATGATCTACGTGGTAACAGAACTTCTAAGCGGCAGAAGCGGCAAGGAAGATCTGCGAAGTTGGAGACGAAGATTTTGTCTCGATTCGTGCAGCGCAGACACGAAGAATGGACATAGAAAAATTTCAACGACATCGGTCACAACGGATTCCGAAGCCCTGAGCGATGCGTTCAAGTAAATCCATTAACGAATACTTTAAGGTAATCCGTAATAGCATGTAATCGTTTTTACTACCCTCGTAAATAAATATTCCGCTCATTCGGACGTAACGTAGAAATAATGTAGAAGAATGAAATTCTAAAACAGAGTACAGACGTACCCAATGTTTAGGACATCGAAAGAGAGCACATGAGGGCGAGTACGTGTACATACGAATGTGTAGGGTGGAGACTGTTTGATATGCCGGCGACGCTCGGCTTGACTGACGCCTCGAGTTGCGAATAAAAATTTCATCAAATTCTATTACATTCGCTTTCCTTAACGTGCCTCGCAAACGTAACATGGCTTGGAACTTATACAACCGAATCGAAAATAGTTGATCATTTTCATTCATTCGCGGTATTTCATAACGCTATATGTGAATACAGTGCGATTCTTCCACGGTGCATATCGTTCACGACAGGAGGGTTAACATAGTAACGAGTTAACGTCAATATCAACGCCCTGAACTTAATTTATGCAAAAGCACCAAATGTTAAATTAAAAAGAATAATAAACTGAAACGAAGGATCGAAATTATCACGGGGTGTTCGGAAAGTCCCAGATTACGGTCCTTTTTCGACAATTATTATAGTTACAATTTTAATACGTTCCTTCACTTTCCAGGAGGCCACGTGGGGATGATTTTCTGAGAAGACGTTTAACGTTTCGGGTTTACTCGGCATAAGCAACGATCAACCGTGGTAACTTTTCATTAATACGAATCGATCGTTTCTTTTGTTTCCACTAATAGAAATTTTATCCTTCGTTTCGTCAATCTTATGCAGAAAGTTGCGCCCTTTCTCCGCGAAAAAGCCTCGGTAATCGATTAAAGCGAAGCGCAGGGAGGTGTCCGATCGTTCCTGCGCGCCATCGCGTCCTGTATTTGTCACGAGGCGAAAGAGATGCGCCGAGATTCGAACCCCTGTAGGGGGAGGACTTAGCAACTCCAAGTTTCGCTTTAATCTGAAAAGCCACATTAGGCCTCCGTAATTGATTCCCAGACAACTCTGATTACGAGTGAGAATCCTCTGCGAGACATTTACGCCTCCCTAATTCCACTCCGAGCAATAACCGTTCCGCGTTTTCGGCAACCTTTCTTCGGGACCGATGAAATCGAGTCCTTACAAATTTGCACATTTTTACGTTAACCCTTTCGATGCGAATATGCTTTTTGCCGATACGTTTCCGCTGGGCGGATATTCGAATCGCGAATACGGCCCTGCAATGGAAACCGTATAAATATCCGTGACGTTGTACATTTACCGTATTCGGGCGTTTTTACTAAATTTGACATTTTGAGACAATGTAATTGTACTGCAATTTATCGTGGGATCGACATAACCACTGATCGAGTCGGGCATTTTAATCAGGACAGATTTTTGTCGCACCCGACAATCCGAGTTGGAACGAAATCTGCAATTTTCTACTTTTGTCCGAGATTTCGGGACGACGACCGTTACTTCCGTTCCTCTGCCAATAACGTGCCAACTCTGGAAAAGCGTTTATCATTTTGTCAGACAAAAGAGTCCTTTTCAATAATTCGTAAAGACGTCTTTCGAGGGGTGATAGGATAAAAGTTCCACGGTCCTCGGATCCACGAGATGGGTCCACTCACCTGGACTCTGCTCTCGGTAAGTCCGATCCTCATGGCGATTTCTTCTCTGAGAAAGATGTCGGGGTAGTGGGTCTTGCTGAAACATCTCTCGAGTTCGTTGAGCTGAGCCGGCGTAAATCGGGTTCGGTGTCGTTTCTGCTTAGCCGGCTTGTCATCTCCGTGTCCGATCGCAGAGGCACTCCCTGGGGACACAAGGAACGAGGCACACGAGTGGTGGTAGGTGGCGGTAAATCGTGGCCGAGAGCGCACGAAACTCGCGTCTTCGAGTCGGTCGAAACGTCCGCGGTTCGGTCCGTTTGCTATGCAAATATCACCGAACGCGAAAACTCCGTTATGCCGTCCCGAGAGAGAAGAGCCTTCCGAAATCGTGGAGACCGCTGTATCGAGATCACGGGTCACGCAACGATTTTTCTACTCTTTGCTCGGACACTCGGGCAAATCGACGAGTATCTAGGTGGCTTGTCCACGACCGGCATCGATTTTTTCCATGGTAAAAGTGTAAATAAATGAAGCCGGCAAGCGGACTTAGGGACGTAACTGTAATTACCTTTGTTACGAGTATGTAGACCAAAATTATTCGAGATAGAGTTGACACTTGTCGATAGGTGTATGCATACTTTTGTAACGCGTTGAGTGCAACGAACGTTGATATAAATATAGATGTCGGGTACGTGGCACTCTTTTTTATATTGCCCTCGAGTATCCGAAATGGCGTTACCGCCAAAAGGGTGAAGACCGGAGGCCGTTTCAAACGGTACATCGGTTGGAAGAATTTCTTTTTACCGGACGTTGATTCTACGTTGCGGACATGTTTTAGGCATCGCCTCGAACACCTCTGCGACACGTTTTGATTTTGCGCCTTTGTTCTTGGTCAAGAAGAAACGGGAATTAACCTAATCTTTTTACGCCAATTGAAATTAAAGCGAACGATTGAGATAGAAATTTTTACTTCGGACTGCAACGTTTGCAAGACGTTCGCGAATTCAGTTTATTGCATGAATTTTATAAACGCGTCGAATACGTGCGGGCTTATAAACGTTTAACGGCAAACGTTTAAACGACGTTCGCGGTGCGCAATTGTAGCGGAAGGATAATAGACGTAAAATAGACGCAACATAAACGATAAATTCTCCGGGGAAATGGGTGACCCGAAACGAGCAAAACACGGCAAACTACTTCTAACCGGGTATTCCACTATTTCGGGTTTATTGGGAACGGACATAGGTACGCGTTTCCCCGGTTCCGTAATCAAAACGTACCAAGGGTAAAAGGTAATACTTCACGACGGGTTGCCCTTGGAAAGCATGCTCGTAATTAAATCAAATACTCCCAAGTGCGACCATGTTTCGAAAAACGAGCACTGTTACCCTTGGGACGTATCCAATTAACGACGGGACGAGTTCGGAGGAACGCGATGTCAAAGGGCGCATCGAAGATCCAGAAAAAAATAAGTTTACGGAGAGAGAAAAAAGGCATTTAACCCTTTCAGGGCCGGACAACGATATATCGTCGTTTTACAAGGGCCAACTGCTTCGAGCGGCACCAAAAGGGTTAAACGGTAGCGAGAGAAATTTGGGGAAATCGAGGAAAAGGCGCGTCAACGGGGGAGGGCGCTTTCGACGACGTCGGCCTTAATTCCCTTTGGAAAGGAAGCGGTCGTACCTGTTCCGGGCATGGTCATGATCAGTTCCTGATGAAGCGTGAGTCCGCCGCCGACCGGGAGACCTCCGGCCAAGTTCGCTCCCAGAACGCCGTCCAATTTCTCGTGTCGTTTCAGGTCCTGCGTATGGAGGTCCTTTGCTCCTGCGTACGTAAAAGGACACTGTTTCAGCCTCTTTTTCTCTTCTTTCTTGTCCCTCTTGCTCTATGTAGTTTAAATTTGTATAGGAGCAGAAGCTGCCTGACGGGCGACGAGGGGCATATACGGGCCACTTAGCACGGAGGTGCGAGAATCGTCACCGACCTCTGCTTCTAGCCTCTGCCGTGGTGCGAGCACCGCGTCTCCGCGAGAACGTCCGCGACAACCTCGACGGCCTCGACGGCCTCGACGGCCACGTCGGCCACGCCGGCCACGCCATCCTCCACCGGACCGAGCGCGCATACGGCGGGAACCAGCGTAGCCAATGATACTACAATCCCATACAATGAAGAAACCAATGGTACAAATTGATAAGATCAAATATTCGAATATCGATATCCTAAATTTTGCCCGCATTTAATAAGAAAAGGAAATGCGATTCAACGCGTTACTTATTTATAACGTTCATTTGCAATATTTCACGAGTCAGTTGGAAACTGACGACGTAATAAATTCCAATGTCAAAAATGAACTGGAAATAAAAACTGAACAATTTAACTTCGTTTCCAATTTTAACAAAGCTTAAATGACTCTAATGAAACAAACCGAAGAATATGGACAGAAATATCCATCGATAATAACGATGTCGTCCTCGGTCACGGTTTCATTTTCTACTAAAATAATGGTACAATTCGCGTACTATTAATGTTCCAAAAATGCATAGTATACCTGACTAAAATGATAGTAAAACTACTGTAACGATAGGGCGGTTGGTAACACCGGCGGGAACGGACTCGCGCTCGAGTGCTCGTCATCCAGGAGTCGAGTTGGGACAGCGTCGTCGCGAGGTGACTTATGTAATGAACTAGTTTCAACGATCGCATCGCGATTGCGATGCCCCAGGGGGTGGGCGCGAGTACTGGGACTGGGAGTATCCGTTCCACGAGGATTCGTTTTCCGCGAATGTAAGTCACGCAAATAAAGTCTATCGGTTCAAAGGAAAAAATATTGGAATTAAAAGCTAGGATACGTAACTTTTGGAAATACGTACTTATCTCAAATGGCTTAACAAAAAAAAAAAAATGATGACGTTTCAAAACCGCGTAAATTGAGGGTGGGGTGTACTCGAATGACCGATTTTTGTCCCAATGGATGATCGCTATTCGAATGGGCCTTTTTCTTTAAGTTATCGATTTTTGAACATTGTAAATATCCGAGACTGGTCCGATACGGCGAATGGCGTCCGAACAACGTATGGAAGCGGAAAGTTCTTTAAGCGATTATTACTCATCCTCGTCACTTAATGCATAGAGACCGGTAGACGCGAAAACCATCCGTTACAAAATTGAATGCATCGTTGAACCGAAATGAGAGAAAATTTGCCTCGTGGGAGTGTTTGCTCGACACCAGACGTGGATATTCTTCCGGACCACCATGACGAGGGACGCACTCGGCAGTAGCCTGGGTATGAATGAACTTTACGACTGTTCTTCATTCGCGTTTCTCCGTTACGAGTTTTCATGGTTTTATTTCGAGTTTATTGGGAGGCCCGACACATTTACAAGCCTTCCTAAAATTCGGAACGTTCCTTTGATGCCAGGCCGCGGCTTCTATAGGTGCGCACCATGGCATCTCTTTTGTCCCTCGACGGAATTCGATCAAAGTACTGATTTATTGTATGCGCGAAATACTAGAAAATCACGTAACGCGTATATATGCCATTGACCGTCTTCGGCACGTAAAACGCCGAAATTGCTATTCATTCTTTCGGCTAGAGAAAGGATTTCGTGCTTCTATAATCGTTACTGCCTTCCAAGTTTTTTAAATTAATCAAAAATCTTTGTTCGAATCGTTTAAGAAAATATCGTTTCTTGTTAAAAAATACTATAGGATGAGCGTATGTATACGGTATCTTTCATATATAATGGGACCCTTAACGTATTTTAAGGCGAAACGTTAACCGTAAAGAAACTTAATCGTTGTCAGTAAAATCAAATTCTCCTAACCGATAGCCGTAAACGTCCGAAACAATCTTCGGTCTTCACCCTTCTAACGGTAATGCAATTTCGGAAAGTTAGATGGTACCAAAAAATAGCGCGCCACGTTACCGACATTTATATCTATATCAACGCCCGTTTAATTTCACATTAAAAATTATACGAAATAGCATACTCTCGAGTGGTTTTAGCCCTAAGCAGAAGCACCTGGATGCTTCCAGGTGGAATCAGTTAATCCCTCGGGATGAACGGACAAGAAGTAGACGGATATTCATTTAAGTAATTAGATCGGTTAAAGTAATTAGGTCAATTTAACGAAGTGCTTCCTACGGGGAGAAAAATGTTTGCAACGTATTAAATATTCAAAAAGAAAAACGACCGTACCTCGTCCACTCTCGGTTTTCAAATATATCGTACCGATCGTGGCACAACACTTTCTCAAAGTGCTTCCTTCTTAAGGGATACCATTTCCGAATTTTTCGCATCTCAACGAATGCGTAATTTATCCCTTGTAATCTTCGCGTCCACCACCATTATTGGCTTTGACTTTCGAACGACGGTCTAAGGAATATATCTGCTCTTTTTTAAACCAAATTTACGTCATTATAAATTAATCGATTATTACGCAAATTGGGATCTAATTGGTATTTAATTGGTTGAATACCCTAACGCGCAATCGTCCACAGGTAATCGGTTAAAAATTTAATCGGAACTATAACGCATCGATACGTGGAATCCTGATAGATCCAAGGACAGCTTAAGCGACATTCGATTCAAAAGAGACGTTCACTGTCAAAACGTGCTATCGACCCCCTCGACACCGAGTGCGGACTCCGGACGCAACGAACGATACCTCGAAAATACGACGACCGACGAAATACTCGAACAGCCGACGGGAGAATGAATTTGCGAGACTACGAAGAAATGCCCGGGAAGAACGCGCATCGCCGATGTCCGTTCATCACCGAAAGACGACGATCCGAAGAAAAACCGTGCACCCCGAGAGCCCGATCGAGGCCCGTCGGTCCCCGGACGAAACGTTTACTCACCGGAAATGCCGTGGACGGAACCGCCGGCCGAGATGTTGTTGAGCATGCCTCCGCAGGAGCGAGGCCCCCTGCGCCCTCCTTCGGACCAACTCGCCCCGAATCTCGCACAGCGCGAGGCCGCGAGGACGACCTTTCCGGGGTCCGGGGGCACCACCGAAGACGCCTGCACGCGGAGGAGGCCCGCGCTTTCGGAAGGCAAACAACGAACTGGCCGGCTGCCATGTCGGCCCGAGTGGAGCGCCCCCCGGCGCCCCCTGGCGCTCCCGGCCGAGCCCCTTGTGGGCGGGATATCGAATCGGCCGCTTTCCGATCCTGCCTACTCCCGCAAGGTCATCGCCCGCACGGGCGGCGCTCGTCGATCGCGATCCAGACTCGCTTTGGATCTTTTCGGGGTCTTCTCCGCTAAAATAAACCTTATCTCGTATCGTTTCTTTACAACTTTTCGGACATGGTATAATCATTTTATAAGGTATTTGCAAAAAATTCTATTTACGTGACGTGTCGTAGACAGCTCGGCTCAAAGATAGCGAATGCGGTCCTCTAAGCCGGACAATCGGGGTAAGAATAAGAATTACGGTCTGTGAAAATGACGATCTCGCTCGAGATCGACCTTATGTGACCTCCGACCGTTCGGTACCATTCCGTCCTCGCGATTAACCCGTATTCAAGAGTTTTGGCCGGGAACCCCGATACGGATACGACGATTCGAAAAGTTCGAAATCTCCGTCGAGGGAGCACGCAAGGTCCCGACGAGATCTTCGGGGTCAACCCGACCCGGAAAGATTCGTTGGACCGCCATTGACGAACCGTTTCGTTAACGATAATATTTTAACGACCCTCCTCGATCGGACGAACTTTCCGGTGAAACCGACCGTGAGAATATTTGTCGCGTCGATTGTCCGCCATCCAAAGGGAAATCCTGCAAAGCTCGTATACTAAAAACTCGTTAAAACTCTCGGGAAGGTTCCGGGTGCGTTCGCGTTTGTCGCATTTGTCGCATTCCGGCCCGTGGATAAAAATGTATCCCGGAGAACTTTGTACCGCGGGCAATCCGTAGTCCGGGTAACGCGATGGAACGTCCTTTTGTCCCCGGAGAAGCGAGTCCATCTCCGGGAGAGCCGAAACGCTCGAGTTCCGCGGCAAGATGTCGACGAAGGAACGATGGGTAGGTAGGTAGATAGGTAGACAGGGCACGCCAGTCCGTAGTTTCAATAGGTAGGAGCGAGAGATCTCCATTTCGGTAAGCGAGTCGCGCATAAAAAGGAAGCTATTGAATTAAAAGAACGCCGGCGAATGAAACGGCCGGGGTGAGGCGAGAGTCCTCGGAGGAAGGGAACGAGGGAAAAAGTGGGAAAGACGGAGTCTTTCCTTCGGTCCCTCCCCGTCGCCGACGTCCGTCCGGTCTGCTGGCTGTGCTCCCCGTCCATAAAAATAAAATTTCAATAAATCTCCAGCGGGTAAACCCAGTCGCGCATCCGGGAGGCGGACTCTGCCGCGATTGGCCGGCGGCTCGTCCAGGCCCCGCCTCCCGGGACCCGGAGATAGGCAGACACTTCGCGGGTGGGCTTCGCCCGGGCCGCCCGATCCTCCCGACCCTCCCGCTCCTCTCGCGCCCGCCGAGATTTCACTTTTTTCCGCGGAGGGGGTTTTTATCTTCCCTCTTTCAGCTACGAGAGCTTCCCGATCTCCCAGGAACCGGATTAGTCCCAACCGCGGAAAGCGGCTGAATTTCGAGATCGCGACGTCGCGGAAATCGGGGGAAGCTGGCGAAATTTCGAGTCGAAAGTTTCCGAGGCACCTTTCCCTCGAACGATTATTTGCCGAGTTATCGAGGACTCGCCTTGGTCGCTCTCGGGCGCGGGATCGAGCCCCGGGGCCTGCGCGCGTCCCGCGTTCCCCGGGCATTGATTTTTATTTTATTCTCAATTCGGGTTATTCGATTAATCGCTTACAAATAACGATGATACTTTAAATAATTACATTTTTATTTATTCCAAAACGATTTAACGCTCGTTAACGTTAATTAATTAAATCGATTAGTTTGATTTCATTTATAAACTTTTATTCATTTAATTAATAAGGACGAATGGGTAAATGAGATATATTTTTCTTGGGCAAATATAATCTGCCGATCTCTTTATAGGCGCGTCAGAAATTTCCGGGATTCGATTTGAAATTATTTGCTTCGATATTTTTTAAAGATACGGTAGGGACCAACGTACGAATTTTTTCTCCCCAATAATTTCGAGTTACCGTTCATTTTTTTCCCCGATACTCGTCCTCGTCCCTTCGTACATTTTTTAATTATTTTACGACCGATCGTTTCCGGGCGACGAAGACAAGTTCTTGCATCCGTTCGTTTAAGACTCTTAAACGAAACCCGAATATCATTTTGAAACTAGAATAACATTTTTTGCAACGTCGCGATTAAATATAAATATTTTTATGTAATGTCGTTGTTGAACTTGTAAACGGCAGATTTGAACACGTTATCGTTTCATTAGTCCTTTCCGTTGACGCGAAAGTCTTCCGCGATCTCGCAAAAATGCGGACCAGATCGCTGGGCAAACTGCTGGTTGAAATTTGTGCAACGGTTATATATCTCTGGTCCTCGTTACCGAGAGACAGGTATGCCAGATACGTTCGGAACTTGATCCATGTCCAAATGAAGCGCGCTAGAGAGCGAGCGAGTAGCTAGTAGATATTATAGATAGACCGGTGGACGAGGAGCCGGAGGGGTGATTTCGTGCCAAATTGAAACCCTCGAAGGTAACGTCTAATGAAAGCGTACGTACAGGGCTAATATCTACCCCACTAGAAGGTAATAATTTCAGAATGGTACTTCGACCGGGCTGTACTTCCGCAACAAAGGTTAACCATGCGTACCGCTATTGGAATGGCTGGACTCCCGTCTCGTGGATCGAGCGACCTCGGATATTCTTTACTCCTTTGACCGACCCGGATGGAGTCTCGCTTCCGTTTCATTCCTGGTTCTGGTTCTGGTTCCGGCACCGGGGAGTATCTCGTATCGTTGCCGGGCCGACGAATCCACGATATCTCGGGTAAAACCTGCGAAAGGATTCGCCCGACTCGATACATCCGGATTTACCGCCGACAACTATTTTCCGCATCGTAAGACGGAAGTGGCTTAAATATTATTTACGATCCTACGTAACGCCTGCTCTAATAAATTATATTACAAATGTTGAATTCAATCTTCCAAATCCGACAATTCCTATAAATATGCAGATATACCCTTCATATTTTTTTGGAGATTAATTACGATAAAAACTTCTATACTGGGAGTTATGGCCCATATTGTAATTTTGAAATACCGTCGCTGCTACAAATGTGACAATAATTTTTATAGTCCACGTTCCGAGGCAAGAATCAAAAAAAATTTAGCCAAAATCATATAATTGACATTAGAGATTTTGAAAATATACGCACAAATACGAACGGTAAATTAAATAACAAAAGCAATCGGTTAACAACTATCGATACTTCGGGAGGTCATAGCAAGAGGAAACGCAGATCACGCGCGTCTTTGGTGCAAATTATAACTATATTATCAAAAGAATGTTTAAGTTCCCCGGGCTAAAATAGTCTCCTCCCTGTTGTTATTAAGTTTCTTCGAAGGCTTTTCCATCTTGGACCCTCTCCATGGTACCAGGCAGGTCTTCGTTGTTTCGTTTTTTCTTCCTCGAGCTAAGAAAAAGTTCCCGAACAAAAGATACGACAAATAAATTCAGTCACAAGTGAAGAAACCATCCAAAGTTTCCGAAAGATAGAATATCCGTTTCGTATCGCGTGCCACCGCTCTTGACCCGGAGCTGCATCACTGACATTGTACGATACAGGTAGGAATTTCTGATATTACATACCAGAAGCAGGAATGCCCCCATAGCAACCCCACAGGGTACGAGGTTCTCCGCATACACCAGACGTACTCACCCTTGTCGGAGTATCTCTTGCCACTTCCAGTACCGATACGTTAACGTACTTCCACCTACTCGCACGGTTATGGGTTTAGCTCGTCTTATTCGTACGCTAAACTAGATTTTTAACGAGTTTACAGGACATATTTGAAACGTCCAACGATCGTTTCTCCGAAGGCACGTATACGCGTCTAAGGGAACATCGTAGAGTACCCGATTCTCTTGTTTCGCGGAAGTGTACGCTTCGATGTCACGAATGATTTATCGCTTATTTAATATATGTTCGGGTACAACGATAACCGGAACAGGGGCACAACGAGATTAGAATGGATTAATTATGTTACGTTAGAAAATTGGGCGTCCGGTTAAATCACGTTCATCTTACCTGAGCCTTTTTTACCGTCCGTAACCCACCCGATCGTCCTTCCGAATGCCTCCGGAATCATGCAAATATGTAGGTCTACATTGTCGCGTGAACGCTGTATTTCATCGGTCAACGAAGATAACGACTGGTGGATTTTAGTTTGACTGTTTGGAAGGGTAGTTTTACCCGGGGGCGTCGACCGCTTGCATTCGACGTATCGTCAATTTGCCGTTACTCCTCTCAGTAGTTCAAAATCGATCAGTCGCCCGCACGGCTTGGCATGCGTTTTCTGCAACCGTTATACGGTACAAATTTCGATTGCCAATTGGCATTCAATTTCTCCCTGAAACCTTGATATCCGATTACCTCGAGATATTCGTAAGATTCGAGTCCGCGGTCTTCTTTCGTCTGCCTCTACAAAGAATGGTTCAAAAATGTATCGAGTGCACTATGTCTTTTCTATAGTACCCAGAACAAGCGAATAATCGGCAAGAATAATATTTCACGTTTCTTTTCTTTGATCGCGTTTTAACCAAAGTATCATATATTGCTGGTTAAATAATTAATTGTCAATACTTTTGCGGTCAGCTAGTTATCGCACGTGCTATTCTTTCAAACGAGAACGCATCACGGGCGCGGCTGCAATTCGTGGTTCGCAGTTTACCGTGATTACGAATGCTTGAGTGAACAGAGCGAAAAAGTGCCTTTCGGTCCTAGCAAACGTCCAGCTAATCGAATGAAAGATGATTAACGCATATTGGATGGTATGCGAATATAATTGATGCGAGAATTATTCAGGATCGTCAGGACCATGAGCATGGT